TTACAGTCAGGTTTATATTTTATACGTATGTTCAATCTAGGTAGTTCTTTCAACTGAAATTCATCCAGGTTCATCTGGAACTGACTTCGGTCTTTAATTAATCGAAAAATAAATTAACCCGTTTAGTTTGGTGTTTTATCATTATTTTTTATTGCCAAATATAATGACTCACACATACAATCTGAATCATGTCTTTCTGGTTTTGAAGCACTAGTACCAGTCCATGCTTCATTGTATCAATCCCCGTGTGCAATTTTGAGAGCTTCAGTTTGTTCATTATTTTAATTTCTACATTCGTTGCTTAATTCACAGCCAAAAAACGATCAAATAACCAATTCAAACTTCTGGTCAATAGACAACAGTTCGGAATGAAATGCGATCAAAGGATAGTTAACGTATCGTGACTGATCGATGCAATGACTGAGATGTTTGTTTTCATTGAGTTTTTATCTCGCATCTGATTGGTGGCTATAGAGAAAACAAATGAAAGTTCTTATGGTTTTCTTATAAGAGAATTTTTGTAACAAAATGACCCATGCAGCAAAATAGATCCTCTGATCTAGTGTTTCTTTATTAATATGAAGGAAAATATATAGCTAGGAGTTGGATGTGAAGTTGGTTTCTCCACACGAAATAGCAGCGAAATGATTAAACGAAAGAGCACTTTCTGTGAAAACGAAACATGGCACTGAAGCAAACGGTGAATAGAAGACTTCATCCTATTGGACAAATTAGTAACTAAATAAACTGTTCCAACCAATAAAAATGTGTGGTAGAATGGAAATTCAATTTTAATATGTCGTTTATTCCACAAACTTGTTCTGACGAGAAGTTCATAAATTAATAAACAAAAGTGTGGGTATGAAATTAAAGTTAGATTAACCAGGACGAGGTATTTTCACCTCAGTTGTGAACAGAGACAAGTAAGTGTGTGTTTGCTCGCTTTGATCAGTTTTAAATTCTTACATTTGATTCTATTTTCTGTTTTATGCGATTTAGGTCATTCGTTTCCCCTCAAAACGTCCCAAGCGCTGACTGAGCTATTTCCAAGGTAAGGGCTTTCCTTTGTTTCAATAAGTTAATCTCGTTAATGCGATCGAATGTCCATAGTTAGCAATTAAAAACAAACCGTGAAGAACTCAGGCATTCACAACCGAATGTTGCAACTGACGAGGAAAGAGCTAACATAAAATGTAAAAAATTGTTATTGTTAGAAGACTACTCAGTATTGTGATAATTTGAGATTCAACAGAAAACGACCATTAGCACTAACATGAGCTAACACTGATGTACTTTGCTTCGAAACTCCACATAAACATGTCGTGTTTTGGAATCTATGTGTACCTTGAGTCAGTGTATCCTACGTTACATTTTCAAGAAAGGGATTGCATTTATCGTCTTGTCATGATGATATTCGTCATGCAATTACGCAAATGTCTAATGATAAAATCATTTGGAAAAAAGAAAATTGACTCCTAACCAACTCTTGCTGTGCTGGATAACATTAACATTTTCGACTTTTCTGGAAGAACAAAACAGCTAATTGATTTTTTTTACTGACCATTAAAACAACCCACCATGTTAGTTTTTATTTTCTTTTTCCGTCTATATGTTCTGAGGGCAGAACTGCTGAAAAGACGGCTTAAAGAACCAAAGATTTAACTGGAATCGAAGATCGTTTTGCTTGAATTAGTAGAAGATAAATTAAATGATTTACATGGAATGATACATGTTCAACTGGAGAGATTTATCCTCTAAAATTTGTTCAAGTTCATCTAGAACTGAATTTTGGCCTTTGAATCGAAAAAGTAATTACATTGCTACCCACTGAATTTGGAGTTATCAAGTTTTTTCGAGTTCGAGAGTAACGAGAACGTATACTAATTTCGTCTCGGTCTCCTTGTGTCTCACCCGACCAGAAAAATCAAGATTTTTCGTTGGGAAGTGGTTCACATATTGCCCCCCTCCCCCGAAGATTTTTTCAGGGGCTAAACACACGCAAGTAATGCATTCGTTTATTTTCAAATCTTAAGCAAAAAACGTGGAGGTTGTTTCGTGCGGACTCAAGTTGTGGCTTTGATGGGGAGGTCATTGGCGGTTAAGGAATTTATATTTTCCTCAAATCAACCACAATGTTATTCAAGAGTCTTATAGCTAATATTTAATTGTGTATTCTGTGTTGTCAACTTGGTCGCGTTTGACGACAACCAACTGTTGCGTCATAATTAATTGCACAAAACGTCCGAGTTGTGTAGGTCACCTACAGAAATCGACCATGGTTTGTTCGAACAAGATAACTCTTGTCACACACCGAGTTACGTAGCTCGCCGACGGTAAATGGCCAGATTTGTGGTCACAAACACAAATGTAACGATTCTACGAGTCAAAGAATTAATTAGATCATATCCCAAATATACCGCTCGGATTTCCATTTTGTTTTCACCGCCAAAAACAAACCGTGAACCAAGGTATAGGACATCATTGCAGGGGTATATTCGCTATATTCCCCGAGGAATATAGCGAATATTTCTAAGGAATAGCGATCAGAGGTTTGTGAATTTTTCATGCTTGATCGAGACAGACGTTAGTTCGCTTTCGTTGTTTCTTTTCCTGTCCTTGATGGCTACACAATAGAAATGAATGTGTTTATGGTCTTCTTTCCGGATTTTTTTTTTTTTTTTTCACTTAACAAAATGACTCATGCATATGCGGCAAACTCCTCTATTTTCTTGTTAAGCACAAATTTATTACTGGCAGTTGGATCTGAAGTCTTCAGATACTTTGGTTTCTTCACATGAAATAGCAGCGAAATAATGCTTCGAAAGTAAGAAAATGAAACGTGGCACTGAAACAAACGAGGAATGGAAGACTTTATCCTATTGGACAAATCGACGACTAAACAATCCTTTTTAACCAATAAGAATGTATGTTAGAATAAATATTAAAATCACATATATCTTTCGTCCTTCAAACTTGTTCTGACGAGAGGTTCATCAACAAACAACAGTTTGGATATGAAATTAAAGTTTGATAAACTACAGTGTAGGAAGAAGTATCTTCAAGTCAGTTGTGAACACAGTGGCAAGTAAGTGTGTGTTTTCTCGTTTTGATCAGTTTTATATGCTTACATTGGATTCTATTTTGTTTTACTGTTTAGCGTATTGATTTCCTCTTAAACATCCCAAGCGCTGAGTTATTTCAAAGGCACAGGTCAGCTATTTTCATTGTTGATAAGTTAACCCCCTGTACCCGAATGATTCCAAAAAAGTTTCCACAGTTTCAACTGATGAAAAAGCAGGAAGGTGAATAATTAAGTGCCAACGCTCTCGCAAAATCATTTAATTTTAATTTGCGAAGGAACAATCTGGTCTCAGTTTGAGTAAAACAACCCGCTTTGAAGACTTGTTATAATTGCTAGTTAACACCAGATGAAATGATGCATTGCCGGCATTATGATGTGACTTATACATGTCATCATGTGAAACTAGTGTTCCGGTTGTAAAGTAGTCACAGAAAAGAAAAAGGAAATGCTTTGCTTTTCATTTTTAACAGAACGTTTTCGCCAGTTGAGGCTAGTTCAGACTCGTGGAAATCCTGTATCACTGAAAACTTAACTGGGGCTATAAAAAAACTGATGGGGAAACAACTAAAAATAACCTATGCCCGTATGAAAAGAGCTACGTGACTGTTTATCAAACTATTTCGGTTGTAAAATGTAATTATCTGCCGAACCTGTTTTAGCGTTTACCTCATGTTAAGTTTATAACAAAATTAACATGAATTCATGACGCTATTTCACCGGACAACCTAGACACTATCTAACTGCAATAAGCTTATTTGATGTACTGTTAGCTACTGCAGGGGATAACTTGTTTTTACTGGCATGAAGCTCAAAGAATCTTGTCACATAGGAAAGCGTAATACTTATCTTGCGATTATTTAATCAACCGCAAGAACAAGGTAAAGTGAAACCTGTATTAAGCGGACCCCATATTAAGTGGACACCCTCTATTAAGGACGTTCGCGCGAAAATTTTCCAATATTGATTTTTTTCTGAGACATTTACCACTGTAAGAGGATGAGTTAGTTGTGTCAGAAATGTAAAAAAAAGGGGGGATCACGGACTTCGTTTTGGAGAAAACATGCCCCCAAGAACACCCTAAAATAGGAAAAAATCAGGCTCCGTTGGCGAATAAGGCCACAGTGTCTGCAAGCCCAAAAATATTGCAATTAGATCTTTGAAGTGAAATGTTCACTTCAAAATATTGTTTAAGTGGATCTATTAGGTGAATTTAGCCAGCTGGTGAGATTTTAAAGAACAAGTTCGCATTTAGCGACCATAGTTTCACGCGCCTTTGAGCCGAAAGATGGCAGGACTCGATGTCCCGTGGACAGAAATCTTGAATTTTTTCTAACTTCCCACATTGATTTTTTTGTTCATTTTTGGACAATGTGGAGATAATTGTCAATAAAATCTGTTTCTGGAAAGAAAAGTAGGGATCACCGAACGTCCAAGATCGTTAAATCCAGGCAAAGCTCTAGCAATGGCCATCTGCCCTTTCATTGTTCATTGTATTACTTAGCGCGCGCTCTCATAGATGACGTATCGTGTGAATTAGCGTGCGCAGTAAGGATGCGCAGAAACAATAAGCACGAACGTTCTTAAGTGAAGACCAGCTTGAGTCCTCAAATTTTCCTTCCACATTTACTGTAAAATAAACCTGAACTCAGCGGACTTCTCTGTTAAGCGGACCGGGACACCAATATTCTGAGCCATTTTGCTGTACAAAACCTGCAATAAGCGGACACTTCAAGGGCTATTTGCTTTTAAAAGCTCAACGCAGACTCCTTTAGCATTGTTCAGCGATGTCATTTTACAGCTTAGTAGATTATTCCAGATTGATGCACTGGTAACCTTACTTATTCATGCGACGAGAGAAGACTGCCACTGAGCTGACGGTGTAGCAGATACATTTCAATGGCAAGTAAATGACTTTCATATGGTAAAAGGTTCTAAGACTATGTTAAATGTGTTCAAGTGTCATAAGTGGGAGAAAAATAAAGACATCCTAGCACCTTAAAACAAGAATTGGAACAACAGCTTCAAAACTTCACTGAAGCCCAGATTATCGCCATATGCTCAATAAACGTATTAGTACCGTTATCTTTATTTGAAAACGTTATAGACAAAAGTTTAAATCAGTTTTAGATGCATTTTCAAGGAGCCTGTTACTAAAAAATGGACAAGTTGCATTTTCGTAATGATTTTTGGTCCAAAACACGTACACAGTTCTAAAACATGATTTAACGTAAAACTTGTGAACACAAAACATTTTGACATTAATGTCAGATTCCGCGTCCTTGGTCAATTTAGAAATGATCTGACCAATGAGAGTGTTCAAAATTTGCACGTTATTAGCTAGTGAACGTGTTTCAACATGAATCTTCATCGCCGAATAACAAGATAAAGTGATACACTGATAGCAGTATCATTTTCATTCAGATGATCGCTGCCTCAGTGGCAGGTAGGTTTTTATTGACTGAGCCGTACAGCCATTGTTTTACCTTGGCTGGGTTTAAACTTAAACTAATACAAAGAAACATTTCTTTCTATCGTAATTTTCACTTTCTGTTTTATACTTTCGTTAAATTTAATGCTGCAAAATCTCTGATAGACTTGCCGAATACTTCACGCCTGCATAGTCGAAAGAAAAGCAACGTGGAATCAAAGTAAGCTTTCATAACAGCTATAGCAGCCCTCGACAGCCACTAGCTATAGTACTCAGCACCTCTAATGGTATAAAAACCAATAGTATAAATGTAAATGTCACAGTGTTATTTTATTTTGTTATTAGCGATCACATCAAGAACTCCATTCATTTCCATAACCTCAAGGAGAATAAAAACATTTCTAAGCTATTTTTCAAGCAGTGATCTTGCTGTAGAACTAGCAAAATTAATGAAAATGTAGAAATACAGTGACTCAGTTCTCAAAGATTTCTATAAGGTACTGTAAGTGTCACCACGAACATTCTTGTTTTACTTTTCTGAAATTTGTCTCTACAGGCTAGACCATATTAAAGAGTACCCCGTATAGAGAAACCGCCTATCATGTTGTTTCTACTGATTTTTGTGCTGATAACCCTGGCTTCTGCGACCGCCAATAATGTCAGCAGCAAACCAAGTGATAACAAAGTGAGTAGCTCCCTGTATGGTGTGTGAGTTAAAGTAAAGAGAAAAAGAAAGAAAAGAAGAATAGTACAGATGATATCATCGCTGATAAACATCATCGCTGTTGAAGTAGTTTCCAGCTAGATTGACGAAGAGTTACATCAAGACGCTTCCTGTCACTTTATTATCGCTTGCACCTTCACAGAATTTAAGGTGTTGATCTTTCTTCTGACACAGGTCTCAATGTGTCACGGTGGACAACCAGGTACAAATGGTATCCCCGGTATGCATGGCATGCCAGGGTCCCCTGGGGCACCTGGCCGTGATGGACGCGACGGAGCCAAAGGAGACCAGGGCAGTCCGGGAAAGACTGGACCTAAGGGACCAACCGGCGCAGATGGAAAGAAAGGAGATAAGGGAGAGTCTGGAACCCATGGCGCCGTCGGCCAAAAAGGACAGCGAGGGGAGAAAGGTGAGAGTG